TTTTGTTAAAACCGAGAAGGATTGGTGTTACTTTGTGTGCCCCAAATGATGTTGTACTAAAATGTAATTAAATTTAGGAAATGAATCTTAATTTGTTTTTCTAATAAAAAAAATAGTGGGACATGATTACTCAAGTAATGACTCTATATATATAAACAAGAAAAGCCTAATCTAAAGATGGATTACTTGGGTTGTCTGTAATTTGTAATTGCATTACCTTAATCCCAAAATTTCACAACCGGCCGGGTTTTCCAAAATCGACCTTTATTTCCTTAAAATGGACTGATTTCACCAATAAGAGATAGATTACTTCCTATTCACCATTTCTTAATTAGTTCATGATGTAGGGCATCAAATACAAATACATATTTCTAATTGTAGAATGCCTTAATATCTGGAAGACTACTTTATCTTAAAGCCTAGCCCTTTTAATTTTAGATACAATGAATATTTTTCTATTAATACACCATAAGTTGATTCTTAATTTCTCATAAAAATGGGATGGATGGGGTGTACTAGTTAAGACTCAAGAAAAGCTTCTTCTTGTTTTGATAAGGATTTCCAAGAAGTTAAGCGGGCGAGAATGCTGGAGATCAGGGATAACAAGTTACCAACAGTTGTGATTTTTTTTTTAAGCTTTATTTGTTTAACTCTTATTATTATTACTATACTATTGATATTCTTTTTTTTTTTTAATTACTGTTGACGTCAATAATGTAAAGTATTAAAATCAGTGCAATGTCTGAAAAAAGACCTGAAATACAATTATTAAACATCAAGATTCGGCACATAAAATTAGGTCCAAAAAATAAAACAACCTTCAAGCTTGAAATTATGAGCATACACATGAAAACATGTCTGTCAATATGAATGAGCTATTGAGCATGACATCTCTAAAAGAATCTTGGGTAGAACATATTGAAGTTAACGATAATTTTTCTCAACAACCTTTCAAAATTTGCATACAAATCTAGTGTTAGCAGAATTAGTGTTCATAAAGTGAATATTAGTCAATATCCCGTTTATATTGTTTGGATTGTGATTTTTCGCAGAAAATTTTTTATATATATTTCATGAAACATTTTCTGATCATCTTTTTTATCTCACATACATCAAATTGCTACCGTACATTTCTGTATAAAAACTCCTATTGTGACTTCCCTTACTCCTGTTTTGATTTAATTTTCATAATGTGTTCCTAATATACATTTTTTTTTGCCTTTCATGTTTTTCCTTAGAATTTTTCTTTGGAGACTGGATTGGTGAGGGACAGATGAAGCCTTCAAATGTACAATTATATAAAATTTAAAGCCTTCGGTTATGCTATACAGGTTCGTTGTATTAAAGATTTGGTCGGTCACTCAAACCATACCAAAAAAGCAATATAATCATCCCCTATTCCATAAAAAGTAATGACTTTTTAAAGAGAGTTTATATATATACTCAATTAATTACGAAACTAAGGTCTTTCATAGAAGCCACCTCGTATCCCATTATAGCCTTAATCTTTGCAAGCCTATTGGAGAAGTCTCTCTCTCTCTCTCTCTCTCTTTCTCCGAGAAACATGATCAAAATAGATGAGATCATAATATGAAACTAGATGGATGACAAAAGAAAGACAACGTGAAACACAAGGCTTAAAACTGTCATTCTACTGGCTTTAAAAGGTTCATTGGCCTAACAGATAGATTATCAAGTTCAGATGCTAATTTGTATCCCTTCATTCCCTTCCTAACTCTTTCTTTTCAGGATTTATTACAGTTTGCCAGAAACTCTCATTTGGAACCCAGAAACTCTTCAGTTTCAATTCTTTTCAGAGGAAGACAGCCTTAAACCCTCTACCTCACGAGTTATAGATAAAGAAATCGAGATGTGGGCCGGTATCAGAAGATCAAAAAACAATCAAGGTTCGACTCTATGAGCTTCAATCTCAATTTTTAGTTGTTCTTGTTATTGTATTTTGTTTTTTTGCCTCTTTGGGGTTTTGCTGCATGATAAGAGAATATTACAGTGCATAGGATTTTATTGTCCTGACAAAACGTTTCTTCATGGAGTCAAGTAATCCTCTAGTCTAGAAAAAGTTAACAGTTTTAGAACTTGGCACGAAGCTTAGCTATTTTTGCTTTTTGGGTAACAAATTTCTTCTCCAAAATTTGCAGATGAATATACTGAAAGAATCGACATTATCAATCAATATTTTCCATGATTATCTATCCCATGTAATGAATTGTTCAACAATTCATGCTTACCTTGTGATGACAATATATACCTCCATGCATGAATATTAGCGTTTGGATAACTTAAATAATCTAATCTCAAAACACTTCTGCCTTTATCCTATGAGTAGTTGCTATCTAGTTCAATTGGTTTCATCTTATTTCTTGATCATCTTGTATAACGTTAGTGCAAACCTTTCATTGATTTTCCTCAGATAAGAAGGAGATGATAAGGGAATCATGTAGAAATCTTAGTGTGAACGAGGAGTACCTTGGAGCATTAAGAACAAAATCGTATACAGAATTTTTCAGCAAAGCTCAGACTCTAGTTAACCAGCCATCTTCTCTTAATTACTGCAATCAGAGGTTTTCAGATACTCTTCTTGAACCCGGGCAAGAAACCATAGCAACAATTCTGGAATCAGCAGTATCTCTTTCAAGAAAATCTGATCTCAGAGCCCTTCTCTTCAATTACTTTGATATTAGTGCTGAGGCTTCAAAAATTTGCAGCCATCTTCTCAGAAGCATTAATCAACTTCAATCCAATTACCAGCTTGTTAAACAAGTTCTCGACACGATCGATGACTATTCCCCCGAGCAATTAGGATTTATCGTTTCTGAGCTTCGTGAACTAATTTCGCTCAACAATCCATTATCTGGTCTGAATCAACAAGATTTCATCCGAATCCACGACAAGTATTCATCAGTCCTACAACATTTGAAAGCAAAGCGAAAAAGAATTGCTCGAAAAATCAAGCTAATAAAATGCTTCAACAAGGCTTCTGGAGCATGTGTCACGACAGCCTGTGGTGTAGTTGCAGTTGCAGCACTAGTCCTAGCAGCAGCACACACAGTTGTAGCATTGACAATGGGACCAGCTCTCTTTACCATGCCACTGCAGCCACTGAGGAAAAAACTTCTCAAAATTAGTGCTGTGAAGTGTGGATTTCTAAGAAAAGTTGGAGAACAACTTGATGTTGCAGCAAAAGGGACGTACATTTTGAATAGAGATTTTGATACAATGAGTAGACTTGTGGTCAGGCTCCATGATGAAATTGATCATACCAAGGCAATGATACAATTCTTTTTAGATAGAAGAGAAGATAAATATTCTTGGCAAATACTGAAGGAGCTTAAGAAGAAGGATTTTGGGTTCAGGAAACAAGTAGAGGAGCTTGAAGAACATGTGTATTTGTGCCTTGTCACAATTAATCGGGCTAGAGTTTTGGTTGTCACTGAAATTGCCAAGTCTTGCCAGGAAAATTCATTCTAGTAATTTAGAAACCAATTCTTTTTCATTTCTAAGCTGCCAGCCACCAACTCCTTGTTTATTAAATAGCAATCTATTTGTAGATAGGATATCAGGTTTATTCCATTGTAGATAGTAGTATATCTTATTTGTTTCATTTATGGAGTGATATAATGGCTATATATTCTTTGATTTTTTTTTTTAACAATATTTGTACCTGCACAAGTTAAGGAGCCATACTCAGAGGCATATTCTTTGACCTAAACAAGCTCATGGCATTCAACAAAGAAAAGCGATTGAAAATATCAAGTTTGTTCCACGGTTATAATTCCACATTTACAATAACATGTTGAAATTTTACAAAATTTGCAATTGGCATTTACATCAGATAAAATTTTATAGATAGCACTAATGAAGCATAACGTAGGAAACTAATCATGTTCAAGTCGAACTCGAGCAAGGCAACGTTGATACCTAACTCCATTTACTTGCACTCCTCATGTAATGCAAGAAGGTGTAGACTAAAAAGCAGGTCCCATAGCATGCATTTATTTTTTGGTTAGCTGTTGAAAGAGACTAGCTTATAAAGATTGATTGCAGGATTGGAGTTTTAATGCATAATTATAGACAATTACCACATAGCCCTAGATGAGGCATCTATCCATCCAGCAGGACCAGCACCCGCGTAGTATTTTGTCTACAAATGTGAAACAAGTTATTCGGACATTTTGGTACTTCCACATCTAATTATATACCTATTCAAGTGATTCCCCCACCTATGAATATTCATTGTTTGGGATAATTTTTCAAAAAATATACTATAACACGGTAATTTTTTAAAAAATATACTGTAACACTTTTTCTTTTTTTTTTTATGTGATGTATGTAAGACAGAAAAGGTAATCGAAAAATGTGTTGATGATATAAGCAAATAAATTTTTACAAATAAATCACTATCCAAACAAACCCATTTCCTTTGCTAGTTTTCTCAAAATTTGCTAGCATTTTACTCTATTGATGCTAAAATGGTTAAAAAAAAAAAATATTCACATCGATTTATAATTTTGATGGCAAAAAACAAAACATGGAAACATCAGTTAGACAAAAATCACTATAGATTAGAAAATTCGAATTAAAAGGATTTTTTCGGCGGCCGGTGTCTAGTTTATTGGACAGTCATTAACACATTTAAATTGTACCTAACTTATCAAAATTATTAAATGTATTTAGATACTTAGATACTTTTTCAAATTAATTACACTTTTTCAATAAATTAACACTTAAGACTCATATTGAGTTTTTTTTTTTTTTTTGCCACAACAATATGGGTTGGTCCAATTGGCTTTTGACAAACATTTAGTACAACCTTGTTCCTCTTTGAGATCATCAATGTTTACCGTGTGGGATCTGTCTGTCTGTCAAAACCATAGGCCATTGGACATGTATCAACCTGGTTCTATTTCTTGAGCATCTTGAACTGCTGGCCAACTACTAGAAGAATCTCTTTTCTTTTACCCAAATAAAAGAAAAAGAAAATCTCAATCCTCTAAGCGAATCAAAATTGCCCCAGAAAATAAAATGGAAAAGGAAAAACTTTCTTAACTTTCAGCTGCCAATTATTTTTTTGTATGCCAAGCATTAATATCTAAATAATGCGAGATTTTCTCTTTTCTACAATTATGCATTTTCCCCTCGATCACAGCCTACTCAACCTGCTTGAATGAGACCTTATTTCCCATATTTTTTTCTATTCTTGGCTTTTTCAGTTTCAACCAAAAGTCCTTCTTCTGCTCGTTTCTTTTCCTATTTAAGAGTTAGAGAATAAATTATAGAGAACTTTTCACTTGCTTTTTCTACTAAATAATTTTAATTATTTTCTCCCCCTGCGTCATTAGTCAAACTCATTAAACTTCTTGAATAAGTTTATTAATCATCGCTTTCTCCAAAACTAAGGAAGCTTGCAGCTTTTTTCTTCTGCTCCATTTCCCTCCGAAAGGGTCTACTTCAAGGTATTAGCTCAACCATCAACCCCGAAATCTCATTTTCTAATTCAAGAATTGTTCTCTTTTTACTAGTTTTAAAGTTTAGTGCTCAAGTATTTATCGCATGTTTCTTGAATTATTCACTGAAAATAGGAAAGGGAAGATTTTACTTGATTGATCTTGACGGTATAACCTATTTGAAGCCCTTTAATCTATTGATTAAGCAGTGTTTTTGGCTGCTGGGGGTGTAAAGTGTGATTCTTTATTGGTGTTTGTGAATATCTTTCGAGGTCTAATGCTTTAATTGCTGTACCAAACGTTCTACGCGTGATATTGACTGGTTGATTTGTAGTAATATTTAAGTTAGTTTATGAGCAAAAAGGTTAGTTAATGAGGAAAAAGGACAGGCTATACAGCTTGATTTGCTTCTTTTGTTGGACTCTTATTGGTTATCTTGCTTGACCATTTTGGTGCTCTTTCCCATTTTCAGCCTCCCCTTAATTTATATGCTTGCATATTCGATACGTATAAGGATGAGGAATTTTTTTTTTTTTTTGTGAAGGGATTTTGGAGTTCTGGGGTTCTCGCATTTGTTTGTGTTCTGCTAGTTCTCTGTGTTGGATGTAAAGAACTGATTTTGGAGGGTTTTGGTGGTGTTTCAGCATCAATTTTTCGTCGGTTGCTTACCTGAAGTATTTTTGTAGGAATCTGAATTCGAAATGTTCGTTTTATAAGCTTTCTGGATCAGTCAGATGAAATGGATACCAATGGGTCTGCTAAACCGTCAGTTTATGTGGAAAACGAAGGGAAAAGGGACCAGGTGGTAGAGAACAAGTTAGACCAAACCCATGATGGTAGTAACCTATTGGTTGGCTTAGAGAGGAAGCCTAAGGGTGAGCGATGTAATGCTGGTGCAGCAAATGGAAGAGGGAGAGAGCAGAAATATACACTGGAAGAAGCTGCTGCTAATTCTGCAGGGAAGTCTAGTGTCAGGTTGTTTGATGGATTAGATGAGCAGGGAACTAGTAGAGGCGACAATAGTCTTTTGGATGATGAGCAGTCTGAGGCATGTTCTACTCCTGAAGTAGACTCCCAGAGGAAACCACTGCAGCAGCATTCATCAGTCCTTGAGATTTCCCACTCGAAGGACCCTCCTGTGATCCGATCACAGCGGGCACGGAGAGGTTAGAAATTGGAATTTTCTCTTTGTCTGGATATTTTTTTGCTTGCTTTTCTTTTTCTCTTTATTTTTCCTTATTGTCATTATTTGGCTTTCAATTCCTAGTCCCATAAGTTCTGATTCTTCACTTGGAAAATAATTGGTCTTGCCCTTGTGGTTGTCCCTCAAGAACTGGAGACTTGTCAACTATGTATAGCAGGTGAGGAGAGATGGAACAAAGAATAAAAAGGATTTTCCATCCTTGAGAACAAAGACTATTGTTTGCTATATGATTTTCAATTGAAATTTCTCCAAAAAAAAAGTCATATGAATATTGGGAAGCAATTTTTCTGAATCTAGGCTACATCCATCTCATATAATTTCTATTTCAATTAGATGCTTTTGTGATTAGTTGGAAGAAGTAACTGCTCAGTGCTAAATATCTTTTCTGTTGTTCCTGATTACCCATCCTTCTGGAAGAAGCCAATAGCATCATCATGACATCTTTGCCCCTTTACAGTGTTATTTGGGAAAGTGTAGTTCTTCATGCCAACCATCTGATGAAACAGGCTTTCAGAACAATCTCTTATTGAGATTTAGAGCTTTCAATAAGACTTCTAGGTTGAACTCTTATAATTTGACCTGATAACTACAGCATTCAGTTTGCAAATTTGAGATTTAACTGTCAAAAACTTTTTGTTTGGACCATCCGATTAATGTATGCTCATCATGAGATTATTTCTTCTCTCTCCTCCTCCCTCCCGCTCTCCCTCTCCGTCCCCTCCTCCCTCCTCTCTCTCTCCTCTTTTTCCCCCTTTTCAATCTTAAATTTTGTTTATTTGATTATTTTTCAATCTACCTTAAGGTTTTGACCGATGCATCACTGACCTTATGGGAAGTCCTAGAAATGTCTCCCTTGGAAGCCGAAGAATTGGTTATTCAAGATCCATGGTTGAGAAGAAAGGGAGTCCTATGTATGACCCAAAGCTGGATAGGCTGTCCAAAAGTGAGAAGGTGACCATGGATATCACTACTATTTTTTCATTACAATTTCTTGTTTTCTGTTCATTTTTATCGTTAAATTTCAAGTTGCATAATTGCTATTTTAAGGATATTGTTTACTTCTTTCACAATGTTAAACGGCCTTCTAAGCACTTGCCTAAGTAGTTAAGCAGGTTGCAAATATATCCCCTTTTATAAGAGAATAAGAATATGTTTTTCTGTTTTCTCTTCCCTTAGGTGTGTATGGTCATGCATACTCGTATTACTTTTTGTACATTGGTAAGGGTACTGTGTTTGGCCTTTCAGGAATGGCTAATTATGGACCTAGTGAAGTTCCAAAATGACGGGACAGTGGAAGTTGATCTGACTAGGGGTTCACCTGGAGCGTCTGAACTGTTAGAGCTTAGCTCACTTGAAGGACCTCCTCCTATTTTAGATGATATTGTCACTGATTTCAACAAAACAATTCCCAAATTGAAGATTGCTATGCTTGTGGTTGGAACAAGAGGAGATGTGCAGCCGTTTCTAGCCATGGCTAAGAGACTACAGGCACGTCAGGTGTTGGTTTCCAATGAGCATTACAGCTGTCTATGCTTGGTTTTTTAATTTCTTGTATTGCTTGCTATGTTCTAATTGTCTAAAAAGGTGACAACAGATTTATATGGATGTTGGGATATGTTCTTTTACTGAAATCTGTACAGTCATATCAGCTTAAAGTGTGAAGAAAAATTGATTTACGGGAGTTCTAGAAGTCTAGGATTAAGTGTTGTAATTTTCTTTTCATCTTCATGATCTGTGGCAGTTAAGGTTTCTTCCCTTGAGCTTAATTAGAATTATGGGAAACACTCTTTGCAGTGATTTTCAAGTAATTATGATATAGTTCAGAATTTCTTGACTTCATGTTCTCAAGAAGAAAATGAATTAAGATGACCTACAGTTGACAAGGTGAAGTTGTGCAAAACGATAGTGCACAATGATAAGTTACTTAATCTCCTTTTGTTCTACTTGGAAATCACAAAATTTATTATAAAGCCCTGGACCTCATATATTTGTTTTAAAGAGCAATGTGATGCTTCATGCTTGAATCTATGCCTTGTCTGCTTTCACTTTTGTGGTTTCCTAGATTCAATCAAGATATGTACATGCACGTATGAACTAGTGCAAGTAGGAAGTGTTAATTTTTGTTCTGTATCATGCAGGCCTTGTAGTTTGGTACCTTTATTCATTGTCTTATAAGTGTCTGTATCAGCTTTCAAAGAATAAGTGAAAGTTACACATATGAACTAGTGCAAGAGGGAAGTGTAAATTTTTGTTCCGGATCATGCAGGCCTAGTAGTTTGATACCTTTATTCATTTTCTTATAAGTGTCTGTATCAGCTTTCAAAGAATAAGTGAAAGTTGTGCTTGCAATATAAGGATTTATCATGCCTTTTTCTTTTCTTATTCCAATTTAACTCAAAGATTTTAGTTATTATATTTACTTATGTAGTGATGTTTTCTGTGATTTTTTGTTCCTGAACATCAACTTTGAGGGAATTGGTCTACATCATTTTCAGTTTTATAATTGTATAGCAGGGGACCAAAGAGTTAAATGGAGACTTTAAGTTGATTCGCATGGGGTATCATGTTCTGTTGTAATGTAAATATATGCCTACAAATTGCTCTAATTTTGGTGTTAACAAGCACCCAATTCTGCAGTTGTAGGTAGTTAAAAGTGCAAAAAGGAAGATAAATGAAAAAGTTGGCTTTTCTGTTCGTTTCTTCCATGTAATCTCGGTAATTATAATTTGAAATTTTGATTATTTCACAAGTCAATAACTTTTCTTACTGTGAAATATTCCATGCTACCCATTTGTATGAATTATTAGAAAATTAAATTTGATTATTTTTCTTTTGGAGCCTGTGGTCATTTGATTTGGTTCTGTTAGGGCATGGACTCTTTAATTGGTCTATAATGACATATTGATCGATTATTGTGGTCCATAAAATGGAAGAGTGGTCAATGTATTGCTTTGCTTATCTTCTTCCTGACAGTTAATTATCTTAATACTTCTGTGGTGTATTTACTATTTGCTTTGAGGTCTCACTTCAAGTTTGTTGAGTTGTCAAATTGAAACATATCTCTAGTTTTCAATCATACCGTATTATATTTATGGTGTAATTTGTCTTTGGACATTCTGTAGTTTAACAGCATGTATAACCTTTTCATAAAAAAAGTGGGTTCATTTTTGGACCTTCTAACTCCAAGTGTACTCACAGGAATTTGGTCATCGTGTTAGGCTGGCAACTCATGCTAACTTCGATGATTTTGTGAAGTCTGCTGGCGTAGAGTTTTTCCCTTTGGGCGGTGATCCTCGTGTATTAGCAGGATGTAAGAGGTCCTTGACACTCAAATACCTCTTTTTAACCTGAAGATGTATTTATTTATTTTTTCTGTTGATATAGCTTTCATGAGTTATCTCTCTCTTTTTTGGACCTCACTTGTGATTGCTTCTTTTACTTTCCTGTTGTAATCATATGGTTGGTATATTCAGTTTAACATGGTAGCTAGATTATGAGAATAGAAGTTGAAGTCATATTCAAAAGGGTTAACTAATTCAGTGTCTCAGCAGTACTCTTTCTTGCTACAATTACATACACCTATATTTTGTAATGCAACCTGCTTGGTTTTGTGTAAAATTCTAATTGGTTGACTATGGAAGTCTTTTCTATGTAATGATGAATTTGTCTCCTGCTTCTGTAGATATGGCCCGCAATAAAGGTCTAATTCCATATTCACCAGGAGAAATATCTATTCAGCGAAAACAACTGAAGGCGATTATTGAATCTCTTCTTCCTGCTTGTACAGAACCAGATCTAGAAAGCAGAGAGCCTTTCAGGGCTCAGGCAATCATTGCGAATCCTCCAGCTTATGGTTAGTTTATCAAATCTGAACAGACCTCTTTCCCCCTCCCCCCAGGCGGTCCTTAAACAAAAGGAAAAAGGAAAAGAGGAAATACTTTTGGTGGACCATCACCTGTATGAACAAGGATTCGTTTTACTTTCCCACCTAGCTGCTCTAGGTAGGGTGTAAGTCCTGGGTTTTTTTTTTGTTGGGGGGGGGGGAGGATATCTGTTGGTGTGTCTGTTTCTCGCAGGTAATAGATTGGCTTGGATGTACTAGATCTTTCTTTTACTATTGTTGAATTCTTACTGGATGTTGTCATCTTACTCATCTGTCTATAGAGTTCAGAAATGTATTGCTCTTTGTGTATTTGATAAACCAGTACTAATTCAAAGAAATTAGTGAGAATTTGGACACTGGGCATGAGGCAAAATTGAGATTTTATGTTCTCAGTTGACAGATGATTCCTGAAAATGGTTCGAATAAAAGATTGTTTCAGTTGGTGGCATCACTGGTGTAGTTATGATAATACTTTTAGCAGACATTAGGATGAGTAATTGAGGATAACAGAAGGTTAAATTTTATTTTTACCACAAATGAACACATACATATAGTCTGGATGTACAAATTTTGCGATAAACTTTTGTCTATTCCAAGCCCTGTTGGCCTGAATTTATTATGGTACTTGAAGTATATTCTTGTTGACAGGACATGTTCATGTTGCTGAAGCTCTTGGTGTACCCATCCACATCTTCTTCACAATGCCTTGGACGTGAGTGCAGTCCCATTTTCTGCAATTTCTGTCCTCTTTTGTTTTTCTGATTAATGAGCTTATGCAGTTTCCTTGATATCCTTACAATCAATTAATTAGTCTCAACTGCCCTTAACTCTTGGAATGTCCGAGTCATTTTCTCATAAAATTGGGACTAAACTTGGATTAAGTTTTCCTTTGCCTTCTCTTTCAAAGTGTTGATGAATAGGACTCCCCACCCGTTCTGCTTTTATGAGGAGTAATGTGTTATTTTTTATAAGTAGAGAAAAATTTTCATACAAGAGATGCTCTTAGGTGCTCAATATCATTTTCTTTGACATTCAGCTCATGATGGATTATATCTGAGCTTTCTTGCATTTGGTTATGATGGGCAGGCCCACATGTGAATTTCCTCACCCATTGGCACGTGTACCTCAAAGTGCTGGTTACTGGGTATGTTTCTGTATGTCCTGCCAACTTCTAAGTTTAAATCATGAGTTGTTCTATCTAATTTGTTCTTGTTCTACCTAGCTCTCCTATATAGTTGTGGATTTACTTGTATGGTGGGGAATACGAGGATATATAAATGACTTCAGGAAAAAGAAGCTGAAGCTGTCTCCTATTGCATACTTCAGTATGTATCATGGATCAATATCCGATTTGCCAACAGGCTATATGTGGAGCCCCCATATTGTGCCCAAGCCACACGGTATGTCTGGTCCTTTGATTGTCAAAGTGGTGCATTCTTGTGTTAGTTATGGTCTGTTGGACTATAATTTTTGGAATATTCTGCATTATTTTTTCTGCTGAATACTATTTGTAGCAATTTTTGTACCCTTTTCAGCATCTTGTTTGGATCCATATTATGCTTGTTTATTTACATAAATGGATCTCTTTTAAATTGTATGTGTACTATCCGACAAAATGACATTAAGAGCATTATCACACTCCAAATTTAGTGTATTAAGGATTACAAAAGATGAGTATCTTGAGTGCTGACATCTATAGTTTGGATTTATGTATAATTTTGTTGAGGACAATGAGTCTCTATTTTTGCTTAAGCATTGTGTACTTAGGTCATAAAGCCCTAATAGGAGTTTTAATGAACTGAACTGAACAAGTTGATGATTAATATTGCTAAAACTTGGTATATTACCTACCAAGTTTCAACAAGCTGTGTTCCACCTTAAGTTATGTGTCATTTGCTTCGTGCTTGGGTGATCTTCTGCTGAACTATCTCGAGTAGCTTAACCACCTTCAATATGATTATTGTATTATATGCTTATGGAGTTGAGATAATAAGCTTATTAAGTAAATGTCGCCAACGGTCTTCAAATGTAGTTGGATTAGTTTGCTAATCTGTATAGAAGAGTTCTTAATGGCTGAAATCTCCATAGCTAATTTCAATAGTTCTTGGTCCCTCTGATATGTTTTTGTAACTTAGCCCAATGGTTAAGGAAGTGGAGATTAACTCAATGTATGGGTGCCAATGCTCTTAACTTCGATTTGTGAAATGTATTTGGAATCCAAATTTGCGAATAAAGTTTGGGATTGGAGTTTGTTTGAACATTGAAAAAGATGTGTATTTTATTATTCAAGTTTGGCATGTCAAGGGATGTGAGAGGTATGATTGCAGAAATAGATTCACTAAAGTGTCAAACATTTCATTAAGCCAAAGCAGCTGGTGTCACAAGTTCAACCAGGATGAAAGGAATATAGTTTATGAGATGATATCCTTTGATGGGTAGGAGTTTACTAACTGAATATGGTTTCACTGACTTTTTTCAGGATTTTCCATTTCCTCCACTCTTGATTTCCATTCTTCACAGTTTCCTCTGATTGTAGTTTTTGCAAACACTTCAAAGAATTTAGTTCATTGCAGCAGCATGACATAGCTGTTGAGAAAAAATCATTGTGAAAATTGTTGGTTCACCATCATATCCTTTGAAAAAATTATTCATTTAATTTATTACCTTGCAGATTGGGGGCCTCTTGTTGATGTTGTTGGCTATTGTTTCCTAAATCTTGGCTCAAAGTTTGAGCCTTCGGAAAACTTTGTTAACTGGATCCAAAGTGGACCGAAACCTATATATATAGGTTTTGGAAGTATGGTATGCTATTTTTGTTTGAAGTTATTGATGTGCTTCATCCTGTATATAAATCTTTTTGTTTTAGTAGGAAATCAAGTGAAAGAGTTATATCCTTCTTATTTGACACTTGAAGAAGAACTGAAATATTTTTTTGCTTTGACTTTTTTTTTTGACACTTTCTCTGCTCTAAGTCAAAAAACTAGTCAGCAAAGTTTGGGTTGGTGATTTGGTATCGATACTCTGCCATGAATAACTGATGCATATTAATTAAACAGTTCTTAAGCTTTGTGGTATGGACATTTTGTCTATGAAATAGAGGATTGTGCAGAGACCATTAACTTCTTTATGAAGTGATGTAGGTGCACGTGGCGTAGCTCATGTCTTATAAAGTTCTTTGTGTTTTGCATTTGCATGCTATAAATTTTTGTCACAAGTTCCTTATTTTTCCCTATTGCTTGTGAAGCCTCTTGAGGATCCCAAAAAAACTACAGAAATCATTTTAGAAGCACTGACGAATACAGGACAGCGGGGAATAATTGATCGTGGATGGGGAGATCTAGGTTCTGGTAAGTTATTTGGTTCAATCTTGTCCCTTCAGTTGCCTCTTGCTCAAATATAATGTGCTATAGGTTCTTAAAAATGTTGATTCTCATTTAGCAACTAAATTGGGCTGATCCAATGGCTGCTTTTGCAACTTTCCCCAGCCCCTACTCCACCCACCCACAAGGGAAGAAAGGAAGAACAACACAAAGGAAGTAACAAAAGGACATAGTGAGAGGTCCTGCCAATCAGAAAGTGAATTTGAAGAAGAAAATGCTTCTGCTCTTTTTGAAGAAGTCACCCTTAAAACCTAGGGAAACACACGCAACTGAAAAAGACGAAGCCAATTAGAAGACATGCAGAAGCATAAGAAAAATTAGAAAAAACTTAGGCTTTCAAATTTGCTCTCTTCTTTGGAAGTAGATGCTCTAGATGCAGCTACTTGTCTTACAGCCATTACAGTTTTCAGTTTTTTACTTGTCTTAGCTTTTTACAGTCATTATAATCATTAAATTTACCTATCCTTGTATAATTTTTGGAGAATGGCAGTCTCACATCATATTATGTATGCTCTCCAAATTGTTTTTGAGAAACTTGTTTTTCTATATTCTTTTGCAGTGGAAACTCCTGAAAATGTTTTTCTTCTTGTTGATTGCCCCCATGATTGGCTATTCCCTCAATGTTCAGCTGTGGTAAGTTCTTTTTTAACTAAAGTCTCTCCCCCTATTAAATAAGTAAAAGATCTGTATTGTTGAGCTCCTGCTGAGTTTGTGCATATATATAAGCGTGTGAAATGTACATAGATCTAGCAATGTCACACCCTTCTGGCTTGGAGTTGAGAGGCAGAGAGGAAATGCCTTTGATAGATTACTCCGTGTTGACTGCGATTATTGATGGGATACTTTTTTGGGCCTGTCCATCTTGCTTTTGTTTGATCTTCTAATGCACCTGTCATATACTGGGTAATGCTGCCATTCAGGTTCACCATGGTGGTGCTGGAACTACAGCTACAGGATTGAGGGCAGGGGTAACTTTTCTATATCACTGGCTTTTTAAATTTAAGTTTTAGCACTTTTACATATCTGTGTCTTTTTAACTGTCTTTTCACAGTTTATATCATGTCATATTCATAGCAAATGATTCTCTTTGTGAAGCAAGTAGTTGTTCATTTCATGTTTGACCTATTACACTTAATAGTGCCATTTCCATTTTCTACATTTTATTATTTTAAGGTGTATTTTGTCTCATGTAAGTTCAATTATGTGATATGCAGTGTCCAACAACCATAGTTCCATTCTTTGGGGATCAGTTTTTTTGGGGTGATAGAGTTCACCAAAGAGGACTGGGACCTGCACCGATTCCCATATCTGAATTGAGTGCTGAAACCCTCTCAGATGCCATAAGATTTATGCTCCAGCCGGAGGTTGGCTGCTAGTTGTGCTATTTATTTACTTATTTATTTATTTATTTATTTTGTTTTGCATCTCCTTTTTCTCATGTTTTCTTTGGTACGTAGCATAATCATGTTAAATTGGCGTGAAATGAGGTTATTTTTAAACCTCCCACTAGTACGTTTTCGGAAAACCTTGTCTGTTATTCCTTGTAAAATAGACTTCTTAGCAAGACATTTGCATTCCTATTTCTCATTTTAACATCTGATGTTGATGTGTCGTAAAAATTGCTTCAATAACGGCATTTTCTGCTCTGAAGTATCATGATAGGAATTTAGCTTTCAATGATCAGGGTTTTGATCGATTCTAATCCCCTGCAGACAAAATACCTTTTAGAGTAAGCATAAACATCTTCATGATGTTTGCATTCCCTATTGTTAACAAAGCAAGTTTGTGTTCTCTATTTTTAGACAAAAGATTATGTAAGACACAGAACATGAAGACAGAAAGAGGTTATGTTTCATAGATTAGTTATGGAGTCATTAGGTAATCTTATCAGAGCATAGAAGTATGCTCTTGTTGATATATAAACCGAGATGCATTGCAAGCGTATAATCCCTGGTTAGGAGAGGAGATAGGAGTGGGTTCCTTGGCTTTTCATGGGACGGAAGGCCAACAAGGTTTAGTAATATACTGGCTTGGGGTTGAGAATATTTTTGATAACGGCATTCAACTTAGTTACGATGAACGAGGTGCTGTGTTCTTCTACATGTGTGGTTAAGAGGATCACAAATTACTGGATCTCTATATGTATGAATGACCTGAAGTTATCAATTTAATAGATCTAAATGATCTGTGGGTTTCATGAGCTTTAGATGTGTAGGACAATCTGCTATCATGGCTGAGGGAATTGGCCTCCGATGACCACTTTAAAGACTTGGAACAGGGAAATAAAATTTTTGCATTTCTGTCAAAGTTCAACATACTCTATCCTTGCAGAAAATTTGCCTTTTTTCTTTGTTTTCTGATGAAACATTCGGCATATCAACTAGAAACTATAATCCCCCATCCCCCTCCCTGCTTAAATCCCACCCCTCTTCTTCTAGAAAAAAAATTAACAAAAAATCTAGAAACTGTAATCCCCTATATACTATGTTCTCCTTCTCAAAGATGAATTGTTTACGACTTTACACCTTCATCATCCTGTTCTTTCGTTGTTAGTTGTAAACTCTCTTTTGGTAATCACCATATTTTGACTCACATCAGCCTGCTCCTGTTTGAGAGAGGTCTGCAATATCTATTGCCTCTATATGCTTGCAAATATTAACTGAATCTCTTCCAGGTAAAATCTCTGGCTATGGAACTAGCAAAGTTGTTAGAAAATGAAGATGGTGTTGCGACTGCGGTTGATGCATTTCACCGGCACTTGCCTCCAGAATTACCATTACCAATTGCATCAACAGAGGACAATGATCATCCAAATTTCTTGCAGTGGCTGTTCATTCAAATTGGCAGATTATGCTGTCTGCCCTGTGGTTCCTAGAATTTCTGCTGCAACATCAGTAGTGATTTTTGTAGATATAGTTGTATGATTTGGTCTCTATTGATAGTTGATTAGTAGTGTCTTATTCATTCATTTTATTGATCCACCCTTCTGTGGGGTTGGACAGTGGTCAGTATATAGGCTTTCAAACTTTTTTTTTTTTTTTTTAAAATTTTGGGAGAAAGGCTAGAGTGGAATAGAAGAACTAGAGTATTGTTTTGACTAGTAGGTTGAGGCATAGAACTTGAAAAAAGGAAAAAAATGAGACAATTATTCTGTATTATACTGGGTGCAGTTTATCACTGGATCCTAGTTTTGTCATTTCCTTCTTGTGTCATTATCTAATTTCCATCTGTCCCACTTTCAACACCGTTGATAAAGAACCCAATTTTCTTTTACATGATGCTAATTTGGTAACATAATTGTTTTTGTACAAGAAGTTTTTGACCACCACCATCTAATGCACCTTAGATATATATGTGTGTGTGTGTGCATATATAGCAACAATCATTTCTTATATATCTTGATATCTCTCCACCTTGATTCCATGTAGCTGCTTGAATTAGCTGGTGCAGCATAAACTCCACACTTGAAGTACAAGTCACCTGGCCCCTGATCATTCTTCACAAATTTTTGAACACCATCGATGAAAACAGTGATTTTTCCTTCATCTACGTTGTGGATTACGTTTAATCGAAACCATTTATCGTATAGATTTGTGTTAACCACTTCAAACTTGTAATATTTCATGTCACCTTCGTAGATCCTCAGTTGGAGACTTGTAGCACCAACTCTTGCACCATGAATTTGCATTACTGTCACTCCAGAAGTTGCTTTAGGAACGTATGCATGGCCTTCAAATTGCCAAACTCCAGAAGAGTAGTCAAGACCCTAGAGAGAGAGGGGGGGGGGAAAGATCGGTAAAAATACCGGGTATTATAGGAAAAAAAAAAAGAATTAGAACACGAGTTTTTTTATTAAAATTGGATTGTCTGGAATCTTATTTTTACTAGTGATTAAGGTACGCTCGATGGGTTTGCATCTAATAAAATTAAAAATATTTATAATTATCATTTTCATTCCAAATGGAAGTATTAAAACGAAAACAAAATGGTGTGGACTAAGGTGATTCCAAAAATAGGAAGAAAGGAAAAGAAAAAAATAGTCGTGACTAATATTATTTGTTTTGCATTTTAACATCTCTGCCATAAATTGAAGCTTCTGACAAACTGTCTAATTTTGAAGAGCGCAGAAAAAGTGGATAAATATGAATGAGTTCAAAACACAAAAGATGGGAAGATAAGAAGAAGTTAATGGTAGATTTTTTGTTCTTTTTTTTTTCTGTTAGAAAATTTGACCATTTTACAAAAAGGGAAAAAAATAAAAAATGACGTAGTCTCAGGCTCTATATATATAGTCAATCTACAAAAAGTAACTGAAAATCAAAATTATGATATTTTTAAGTGATAGATATAAATATAAAAATCTCTAAAATCAAGGAGGTGGATCATCTTTTAGTTTGTTTCTGTCACTTAAAATCGTATGCTGTTTAGTATAGGATTTCACACACACACACACACACATATATAGATATCTTTTTTATAACAAAGTGGTGAGAAAATATACAGAATTACATGGTAGAAAAGTGACCTTAATTCGGACTTCAGTGCGTGGTCTGGTAGTAGTATCAGGTTTAAAGGGCTTGTCATTGGTGTAAACCCATAGTCTCCTCACTCCATTTTGATAGCTGTATCGATCATTGAGCGGTACATTGTATGGCTTCTGCAGATCAAAATTTCGATCAGTTAATGGTATCTCAGTGAACCCATCTGTGGGATCAGCAAGACATGACAGAATTCGACCCGTTGAGGAAATCAAAACTAGGAATAACAGTAGACTATACAAGCAAGAAATGCCCATTTTTCTGGAAATTCTTGATCTTTCTTTTAACTCTTTTGTTTGATGATTGAAGTTGAGAAATTTCATGGCTCCATTTATATAGGAGGATTCTTATTGTCTGCATGAAAAGGAGATGTTTCCTAAGGTTCTTCTCCGCAATCATATTAATTTCTAGGTAATTTGTGTATTACTAAACGTGAATGGTACGTAAATTTGTTGAAATCCAGGATGAATTTTTGGGTCTCTTCAGAGACGGTTGACAGATAATATTGTTGCATTGCCAGGGTGGGGAATTGGGGTAACATTTTATCTGTTGTATAATTTTCTGGCATTTTATATAAAGGGTCATTTTCTCTGTTGTATAATTTTCACCAATGTGAAACAGGGGAAGATTGAATATACAGACAACTGCTGTGCCTTATTCTCTCAACCATTTGTTCTCGTACTTTGTTCCACATTAAATTTGTAGAATTTTGCAGCGGCCTTCATTTAAATTCAAGAACATGGAAAGAAATCCAATTAAATTCTCTAGGATAAACAATTTTTTCAGACTAAAACCCATATGTCATGAGTGCACAAATCACTTGTATGCCTTGATCCATAATAATGAACGATGCATAATTATTCAAACTTTTTTCGTACTTCAAAAAAAGAAAAATCACTTGTACAATATCCTCATCTAAATGGTCTTCCTTTTCTGAGTTCAAAGTTTAGTTTGTATCACTCTGAGAAAATGATTATTGATCTTGTAGTCGGAAAATGAGAGAGAGGAGATTGATATTCAACTGATATTTTTAATGAGGAAAATAATATGGATCATGAAGATTTCATGCCTAAGAAACTCTGTGCTATAAATATTTTGATGCTTCTACAATTGTATAGGGAGTTAGTATTCTTTAATTATAGAGGAGGTCTTTCTCTTATATGAACCAATAAACATATATGATTTTAGGATTTTTAAGAAACCAGGGATGACATAGCACAACCTTCGAAGTCTCAACCCTTAGGATAATAAGCTGAAATTTCTTTTTTCTTTTTTATCATTTTCTACAAGATGGATTTAGTCATAAATTGTGAAGTAGGAAATATTGCAAAATGCTTTGAATAGAACCATTCCAAGCATAACTTGACCTACACTTAATGAAATTAACAACCATTCCAAGCACTATGGAATAGTTATTCAATGCCTTATTAGAAATTCATTTTCTAATTGTGTGTTAGTGGTGATACTTTTGATTGCTTTAATTCATGTCAATTTAATCTGAAATAGAACACAAGCACGTAGAATAATGAATTACCACCACCTCACAGTATTTCGCAACACAGATGGAAAACAAGAACTTCAATCGCATCACACGAACTGATACATATTAGGATTTATATAAACTCAACAACATTCTTCTTACATATTAGATACAACTCAAACAACAATTGGACGTACATTTGGTGCAAACTCATAATTTCCATCTTGATGGTAAATCACTTCTTGTAAATCTTGATATCCCTCCAACGTGATTCCATGTAATAACTGATATCTCTTGGTGCAGCATAAACTCCACACTTGAAGTAGAATTGTGAACGCCCTCGATCTTGTGTCTGAAACTTTTGCTGATCATCAATGTAAACTGTGACCGTGCCTCCCTCCACAGCATGGATGAGATTGAGCTTGAACCATCTGTCGTACATGCCAGTGGCAATCACTTCACCGCTGTAATACCTCATGTCACCATTGTAGATTCTCAGAATTATGGTGGATGAATCATGGGCTGCACCATGAATTTGTGCTACTGTTGCACCAGAGGTTCCATTCGGCACGAATCCATAGCCTTCAAATTGCCACACTCCTGAAGTATAGTCAAGTCCCTGCACATAAATTTTTTGTTAAAAAAAAAGGAAGAAGAAAAAATCAAAACTGATCATAAGTTCGTACTTTAGAACCAGTTACAGGTTCACACTCACATGACAAAGGCTGGTGTATTTTTTACTCAAATGGTAACTATGGAAAGAATGTACTACTACTTGGTAAACTCCAAAACTAAGGGAAAGTAGGAGATATTGAGACTCTAGTCAAGCAAAAACTATAGTTATGAATAAAAGTTTTCACCAAATGCGTACTTCACCCTCAGGAAGCTAGGAACTTGAATAGAAAATGTTGATTGAATTTTTTGAATGACACACGAAAATCCCATGTTCTCAAGAATTACTACTGTCGAAAACAAAATATCTTGACTAACGCCTCCGCCTGTTAAAACGCAAGCGAACAGGAGAAAAGATAATAAGACTATGATGCAGTGGTATTTGAAGCATTGTTATGGGGGAAAAAAATTGATTTACGTGAATGCGAACTTCCGTGCGTGGTTGTGTCTCGCTATTAGGGCTATGTGGCTTATCATTAGCATAAACCCACATCTTCCGAATCCCATTTTCGAAACTGTATCGTTCATCCAATGGCACATTGTATGGCCTCTGGATTTCAAAGTTTGCTTCTGTTAATGGCACATTTGTGAAACCATCAGTGGGATCAGCTGAACTTTGGAGAAAAGAATTGATGACCAGAAATCCCACGAAGCAGACAACATTCTTCACAGAAGAATTCATGTTTCCAAACTTTTTGCCCTTTTCCCAACAATTGCTTAAGTATCTTCTTCCAAGAAGCCGCGGTCTAGTAAATATATATAGGTAAGAAAATGGAACAATGAAATGTACTACTAGAGGTTGGAGTTGGACTTACCTGGACCTATGTTGGTATTTCCTTGCGTAAAGAAGCATATTTTGTGATGGTGACCTGGTTGACGAAATTATTGGACGTTTCACAGGATAATGTTTGTGGAAAAGATTCTTTTTCCATCTTGGGTGGATCTAGTTGCGGGAACATTCATAGTTCATCAAACTTCAGGCCAAACAACAAGAAGGGCTTAAAGTTATTGGTGACAAGAACTGGTATTGAACAAGAGAAGAATAAATCTGGCTTGCATACAACTTATTAGGCTAAAAAACAAAGGCTAATATATTTTATAGGGAAAATTACACTTTACCCCCCGGTGGTTTAGTATTTTTTACATAAGCCCTATGATTTCAAAAGTTATATATAATTTTCTCATGGTTTGGATTAAAATGTCAAAGTAACTGAACTTGGAATCCATAATGAAGTCACTTAAACTGTCAAAAATACCCCTATGTAACATTGAAAATTATTTATTAATCATAGGAGGGTTATGTGTATATTTTGAAAATCATAAGAGAGTTATATGATAAAACATTAAATTATAAGAGAGTTATATGGTAAAATATAAAATCATACAGGGTTAGTGCGTCATGTATAGTATGTTTATATATTTTGATCACTTCAATCATTTTAATTTTTAAATAAGGGTAATTTCGACATTTTTAAATGTTCCGTTACGAATGATGTTTCCGTCACTTTAACACTTTAATCCAAATTATGAGGGAATTATGTATAGTTTTTGAAATCATAAGAGAGTTATGTACAAAAATACTAAATTATAGGGGTTAAAATGTAATTTGCCCTATTTTATATACACAAACTTACTTCGTAATGCACCACTCTTTTTATTATTATTAGTATTGGAATGTGATATTATTTTATCTCCACTGTTCAAAAGCTTTGCAAAAACCCAATTTTTGAATTGTTCAAGACCGCTGGAGCTTCAATTATCGACCTTTAAATTAACCCACATGAACTGAACGAAGTGGTCCATTAGGTAAATTTTTTTTCCCCCTAAAGACAGTAGAGAATAAAGAAAAGAGAAGACAGACAGAAAGGAAGCAGAAAAAAGAATAAAAGGCTACTAAAGTTACAAGTTGTTTCGAACTTATAATGAATAAGATAATTTGTGTGATATGTAAAATCTAATCAAACCTAATTAAATCGGGTTATATAACTATCAATCCAAGTTCACCCTTTATTTGTCAGCTTCTCACGGATACCGTTTAATTGTGTTTTCCCCAACTGATGAATTTAAGTCATATTGCAGTAAATTTACTAGTCGTATCCAAATCAATTCTTTTTTGAATTGTATCCAAATTATTTGATAGATTAAGACACAAATACTTAAGTAATCTTTTGGCTAATTATGCAACGCGTTATACTGCCCAACCACAAGATTTAAATTGTATTCTACAAATTGGGAGTTCATGTCCTTTTTTTTCAGAAGAAAAAAAAAATGAGAAAGTAGCCAATATAATATGGTGTTTTGCAATCATCTTCTTTTAAATAGAGCAGCATGGAAACAAATATTCCACAGGTTATTGTCCCATCTGCAAGGTTTCTCGTAATCTCTGACAGATTCACCTTTCATACAATTTGACTGTTAGGTGATCAGCTAAGATTTAAAGAAATTCAGATTTATTGGTGCATTTTTTTTTATCAAAAGAAAAAAAAATCTGGAATCTCGCTCACTATGTAAATATCTTTCCAAATTGATTTTAGGGATAATTTTAGAAACCTCCCCTGAGGTTTCTAACAATTTCACAAAGCTCCCCTTAATATTTCAAAATTGCACATACCTCCCCTATTGTTGCAAAAGTACTCTACTACCCCTATATGGGATACTTAATGACATTTTTTTTTTTTGGAAAATTTCAGAAATTCCAAGAAAGACCAAAATTGACTTTGGCACCAAGTGATGGATTTAATTGACTTGTGTAGTAAATGTAAGGGCTGGAGTTACTGGACATAAATTAGGTTGTAGTATTTTGAGTGCTAAAATTATTGGAATTTATCTTGATTTAAATTGGGGTGTTATTTGACTTTTGTGGTGGCGTTGCTTGAAAGAAGGCAATCATCATAGTTGAATTTTTGTTCCAAACTTTTATTTTTGGCAGAAAGAGTTTGTTTGCTTAGGTGTTGGAAGAAAGGCAATTAACAAATCTCTTTTTATTTTTCCTTTTTATCTTTTTGACAAAAAGGGTAGTTTAGGATATTTGAAGGAATTGGTAGCCTATTAGCATAAATAGTGAAAGCAAGGGAGGTGAGTGTAATTTTTGAAACCTAAGAGGAG